TTATGGGGTCTAATCAAGTTCAAATGAATCAGATTTGCCCTTTAAAACGGCCATGAACGTTAACGACTTACAATTTTGACTCGCTGTCTTTGAGCCAAACTCGCCCACAAAAAGGAGATTAACATACGGAACGAACGCTTTTGGTAGCACTCCCCAATTAAAGAAGGGAAGAAGGAAAGGAAGTGATGTTAAAAATTGTAGTTAAATCCGTAGCACGTGTAGATATCACTCCGCCTGATGCAATTCTAGCAATGCAATCCTCCGTTGCCTGGAGATTAATCACAATTCATTAAAAGACTTGTGACAATTAAAGCAGAAGATTTACCACATGTGGCTCTCCGAGATCGACGCAATAAAAATGCATTTGCTTGTTGTAGATTTCACCGAACAAACACCTTCTAAATCTAACATTTCAAATATCGGACTGGTAGTTTTAAAGCATCCACTGCAGGGTTTCCAGGCCCCCCGAACACCTATTATGGGGCTATTTTCAGATTCATATGCTTTATAGACTTCATAAATAATTCAGCTATTGCAGTGTAAATCAACAAGACAAAGTACTACATCAATAGATGTTATAGTGGGTTGAAGTGACACTTACCAAAGTGCACCTTTTGCTGTTCTATATTCTTGAAACTTAGTGGATTTAGAGAATTTGCGCTTAAATCTCAAGCGGTTTTTGAGTTTTATCTACAACATTGGAGAATTCAAAAAATTGTACGTGACGCAGTTCATATTAATAGCAGTGCAAACTGCTATATACTTTAACTACATGCCAGGAATAAACCCCTACCTTAGTGTCTTCCCTTGTTATACAGACCCAGCTAGCGACTCAGATTTAACCACTGCGTGGAACGCCTGGCCCATTCTGGACGCAGAATTGCCTAGTCGGGAAATCAAAAAAGACGAACCTCGCGGTAGGAACGGTGAGCACAACACAACCGTTTACAGACGGGTTCTGAGAAGTTAGAGCACACTGGGTAACAGAGTAGGTAGATCTCGCTAAACAGTTAGACTGCACCGACAAATATTGCTTATCAAAGCTGTTTACAGCGTTTCAGCCAAACGCTAGAATAGGTACCATTTCTACACCACAAAATATTTTTTGTCTTAAAAACTCAGGTCTTAGATTGACTAGAGCGCACCTCGTCTCAACAACTAGCAGCAATGAGAACCATACTGGAGCAGCATCTTTATCAACAAAAACTGGACTGATTAAACCTTCTAATGGAAAGCACAAAAGTTGAGCTGCTACCAAACAATCTCAAGTCAATATATGTGACCTCACTAACGTAAATTTGAAAGTATTAGGAGAGTAAGGGGCGTCAAACAGCAACTTACGAATGCATAACTTCTTGAAATGCGTATTGAGGGGAGACGGAAGATAGAGAGCTTCTTTTCTCCTCCTCCGTTCCTGCCTGTCTTGAAACCTCATAAGCCTTTTCCCTAACAAATTCCGCATAGGTCTGAGCATGAGTTGGAGCCAATCGACAAAACACTACCCGTTCGACTGGTAAAGAACTATTAACCCAAAACTGAGGTTATTTTTAACAGAGAGATATTGAATTAACGGGGTCTGAGCTCAGCGCACAATGCATCGGCTGATGACATGGAGGAGCTAAAGGTTGAGATGCTACACAGAATTAAATTGATGAAATCCCTCGTAGCCTCCCTTCTCCGACCTTTTGCTCACATTCAATTGCGTCCGTGTATCCGCCAAGCTAAATAAGTGTCTCGAACCTTTTTCTGAGCTTCAATGCGATACCCAGAAGGCCAACGTTGATGAAGTGCACCAGATTGAGGTACTCAAGACGATCACTTTTAATTGGAATACCCGGGCGTAGAATCCTTCTCTAGCAGTTTAGCTGGGCTAGTACATGATAGGTTTGACTTCCTGAGTTCTTCAACCCGTGACCCTTGAAGGTAAGCGAAAAATGAAGCAATATATCATCCCACCTCATCACAGAAAATCAAAACCAGCCGGAACGTCTCGAAGGAGATGATTAAAATCAAGGTAGCTATTTTAGGACCAAACTTCGGTATAGACACGGCTAAAACCTCTATAAGAAATAGATTACCTACCCACTCTCCGACATGTCTTACCTGTGGAGCCAGGATCAATGGACACTCTACCCTGTAGCCACTTGCTTAATATATTAACCAAGCTTATCACCATGCTACTTGGTGTGACAGTGACGGCCTTGTAAATCATCGGCTTTGCTTCTAGACTTTGTGGTTAAATGACGAAAAATGCAATCCTTTCCTGCTAATGAAATTTTTAAAGCTGCTAATTCACGATATACCAGAAGAGTCCATACAAGTGATGCATTCCAGTGTCTTTCCTAGATCCACCTTGTCAGTCATAAGGCAGCCATGATTGTCAGTTATTTTTACACCATTAACGTAATCGCACATAAATTTGACTCCCTTTAATAATATTTGTTCGAAATATAACATAATTCTCTCTGATGAGGTCAGAAGGATTCTCGAAGGATTGGATCCACAACAACACCGGCCAGCTTTTCATTTCTAGGAGAGAAGAAAGAATAATATATTCGAAACTCAAGTGTCAGATATAAAACTTTCATGAAAGTCCAAGTCTGGTATCGCATAGGGAACGAGCGAATCACTTTGGAGGAGACCATGCAGAGAAACTTTTGCCAAAAAACGCTTTAAGCCCAGACATTTGGACTCATGTCCACTGGCTAAGAATTATTTGTATACATTCAGAAGTACCTTGATAATTTGGTACTGAGATTTCAAGAGGTTTTGCACGAAGTAATGCTTCCCACAGCAACACATAACCAAATAAAATACATGAATACCATCTCCACAGTCACTGCCACTAGAGTGGTTAACATCGTTAAGCGGTCTTCTGGATTCGGTGACGAAAGTGTACGGTGGGTGGAAAAAGTCTGTAATGCAGGACCCCACCGTATTTCTTTGCATAGCATGTGAATAAAATGCAAACAAATACACAATCAACACCACTCCTCCATTAAGAGTACTCCCCAAAGATCGCACTGCAACCCAACTTGGCGCATTACTCATTCGCTAACAAACAGACAAACAAGCAGAAACCGCACACCACTACTCAACCGGTGTAATTCTAACCTTGGAACCAACAAATCGCACCGTAGATGCGAATAACGGGTTATTAAAATGAACGCAACATCATTTTGCGTAAGCACAAAATTAAACTATACTTTGCCTATAAAGCTTTTAATTTTTCAATGATGAATTTTTAGTGAAAAATTAAGTATGTGAAACCGAGGTTATTTGTTTTAATTAAGTCCTCCTTACCACCAGCAATGGATCCAAAATCACAGTTGCGCTGATGCACAGAAGCATTTGGACCTAATGCATTCTGCTGCGATAGCCCAAATAGTCTACGAAATCTCTCTCCGGAACAAGTTAGAAAACTCCCTCCTCGCCTATCCTAAACCCAACGAAATTGACTCACAACCTGGAGCCCACAACAGCGCGTTCGCCACTCAGTAGTGAACCACCACCCCTCCTTGTGGCGAAAACGGCTGCAAGCGAAATCAACCCTACACCATCTAATGCATACCCTGGCAGGAGTCGCCATCCAGACCTGAAACAATCAGCCAACGGATCCGGAGAGGCAAATTAAAATATTTATTAGCATACACTATCTAGAAATTCATAGGTATCACATGATAGAATGTTCTTAAAATAGATGAAGAGAAAAACCAAAGCTATGAAGCGAAGAAGCAACACAATAGCCATCCAATCCACGTCGATGATGTAAAAAAATTCCAATCCACTTGGCTAAGGTGATGCTGCATGCCTCTGACAGTGATCCACAAGAGATATTAAAACCTTTAGCCAGGAAAAGCAGAAGAGCTAGAATAATCAGAAAAGACTGAGTACCGTAACGTGAGGGATGGGATGATTGTAGGTGTAGCTATGAGGGAGGATACGGGGCAGTGGGCGGTGGAGGGTGTTGAGGAGCCGCTCCCCAGCCCGAGCCTAGAACAGGGTTGGAAGATGCTGGATAAGGAGGATTTGGGACCGGTGGGGTCTCACCCGGATACGGAGGTGGCTGGATGCCCGATGGGACCGAAGCGGGATAGGGTGGTGGAGGATCCTTGATAAAACAGAAGAAAGTGGCAACACCTAATGAGAATTCAATTAACAAATCAACTAGCTAATCACGCATTCAAGCAGGAAGTTAGAAGAGGCTTACTGGTCACTTATAACTGATGCCGTGATATCAATACCGAAACGTGTTTTCCCCTTCACATGTTCACGTACATTTAGTGTCCGGAAATTTCCACATGAGCCCCCAATTACGTAATGTGCATTCTTTTCAGTTTAATGGTAACCGGCAGCGCTAATTCATGTGGCAAACAGATTGATGCAGTTTAAAGCAGTAAAACAAATACAAACTATGCCTGGTGGGGAAATATCTGCATTTTGAACAGCTTTGATGGAATTCGCTATTAGTAAATGGTGGTCTATTTTCCTCCGACCTCATGACAGCAAACATACTAAATAAGGTTCGGTTTTTAAGGAATCCTTGAACATAGTGTAACAGCGAACCATATTTGTGTTGGGTAAAAAATGAGAGCAAACGACAATTGTAAACAATTGCGACTCTGGATATGCAAATTGACCATCAAGCAGGCGAACGAGAGGCGAAACAATCGTCGAACTGCCTTGTAACTGGCTCACTATGAGATTCTTTTCTAAGTGGGTCAACGTAACTTGTACCTTCGAATTTCGTCTATACACAAAGGCGTTCGACAGACACTCGTCTAAAGTTGATCAAACTTTTACTTAATATCTAATATCATCAAAGCAATGCTATATCAAACATAAAAACAGCAGTTTCCTGTGGACAAAAATTTTGTCTTAGCTTAAGCGTACAAGAGCAAAAAGCAGAATCTGGCAAAAAAAAATATTCAGACAGAAAACTACGTTTAGTCTGCCGCGGTTCCAGTGAAACAATAACCACATAAGGTCAGAGGAGAAACAAGGGTCAGTGGAGGTGTCTCTCATAAATTGGATTAATGTGATTAAAACACCAAAATATGTTGGGGAAAGGAAAGAAAGCCATGCAAAAAACCAGCTCTAAAGGGCAATAATAAACTCCTGTTTGAGGGATTACCAAAGGCTTTCGGTTGCGCCTGGAGCCTTCCGCTTAGCCTTGGTAAACAAAATACGCACAAGTGCGTAAACAAAAGCTTCTGATGTATTGACTTAGTGTAGCATATTTTATCGACTTACTAAATCGCTTAAATAACATAATGTAGCTAAATGATAATTGATTGTGCTCGTACATGCTACTGAAAAGGCCTTTTAAGTAGGCTGTGATTCGCCAGTACTTCAATGCACCGATAGTAGAGCCACCTCCGGATCCGAGATGCGCCCAAAAACCTTGGACTCTTGCAATGAATGTGACCGGTTCCACTGAAGCTTCAAAGTAGGGTTTTGTTCGAAGTGCTCAATTCGGTGTAATGGTGAACAACAAAGCTAGATCAGTAATTTAAAAAGGTTCAAATCTACCAAAAGAAAACTGCTAGCCATATTGTAATATGAAAATATGACACCTCTCCACCCCAGACATATAGCTGAGGAGCGTTAACGTGGCACTGATACAACCCCGAGGCACTGGTTTGCCAATTTTCGCTTTTGGGTCACCTGGTGTAAGTTGCTACCCTAAGCTAAAGGGTAAATTAAAACGGCACAAAATGCCGTGGGAGCTGAATTTTTTAGAAAAATACACAAGAATGGGCATAATCGAATTGAAGAGCATAACCACTTCCATCGACATTTGGTTCTAAACGATTGTCCTAAAATTCTTGGTTGGCTAGTACGCATTTATCTTTGCAATGGAACGATTAGATTTAAGGGGATTTGCAATTAAAGAATTTCTACAAATATGCCAACTTTTCATAACAAACTCTATTTCAAATTCTGCATCGTGACAAGAAGTAGAAGAGAGTGGGAGATTTTCACTGAACGAATTAAGAATGAAAAACATCCACAGGGGACCCGATTAGTCGAGTTAACTAGAAACAACAAAAAGCGCCGCTAACATTAAATGCAGATGTCGCCTTAGTGTGGTGGAAAATCATCGCTTTATCATCACAAAAATTATATGCCATTGAAGGCTACTGAAAGCCCGTGTTCTGAAACAAGGTAACTAACAGCCAAAGCAAAGGCAGGCTCAAAAATTTCCACTATAGTCCTGTCTTCGATAACTTATATGAATGTATGCAGAGTATCTAAAGAAATGACACCTTCACCGCGTTTCTGATAGCCAAACCGAACCCGGATAGACAACTAGGCAGGATTGAAAAGAGAATAAAGGAGCCAGAAGGAATAATAGCAAATTACTAGACTTGCATTTTGCTGAATAGCTCTGCTTCAAGGCAAGAATTTTCTACGCTCAGCGATAATTGGATGCAATAAACCCATTATATGGGGCATCAAAAGCTCTCATTTTGTTGAACGCTCACCAAATCGAAGGTACACAGAAAAGAAGCACCTGCAGTGAATGGCCGAGTCTACGAACACTCAACACAGATGCTTTGACTTTTGGCAGAGCCTCAATGCGGAGTCTAACAAGACAGCCACTGGCAGTGCTATTTAAATAAACCCCAAGAAGGTAATGCAAGTCCCTGAATTGTGAAAACAATACTTTCCTTCCCCAAGCTGCTTTTACATAAATTTTTATGCGGAAACCGATTAGCAAACAGAGCATCACCCGACCACTAACACACTCTCATAAATCTATCCCACCCTGACAGAGTCTGTGTGCAGAGGGTGCGGTATTCAGGATTTTTCACAACGTCTACAGAATGTACCCCAACCGCCAGGCAGCCTTCAAAGGTGCAAAGTCACCATACCATCTTCGATTCTGGCTTGTAAGTGGTTGCAAACGACAGGACAACTCGTTAATAACAAAGGAGAAGAGTGATCACGATGAACGCTGAAGGCGACGCTCAAAGAGGGGTAAAAAGGCAGCGATAAATACCGAGCGAACTCACCAGGTATGGATCAGATTTTGAGACAGGCACTGGGTAAGTGGGTACACGCGGATCCAAGGCAGGCGCGTACCCCCCTACGGTGACAAAATTCGGCGGTGGTGGCGGTGGCGCCGGCATGTCGTGCATCGATGATGATTGCTTGCGACGACGTCGGAGGCAGAAGAAGTAGGCCAATAATCCAATGCCCAATATCATCAAAAGGGTGCCGAAGAGAGACCCAATTATCCTGCCCTGTGGTTGAGAGTAGCTGTAACTGCGTACAAAGCAATAAATTATATTTTCCTCCTCTTGACCACCGTCAGGCCTCAAATGAATGCCCCACCAGGGAGCAATCAGTCATCAACCTCGGCGTTCTACCCTTATAACCTAAATCACCATTGATGAATTTTCTCATTTTAAATCTAATTTGGCTACGTGCAAGCTCAGGAAGAACGAAAATTGAGGTTGGGACTTACTTTTAGCAAAAGGCGGAAAGAAAAACTTTTTTAGGAGTAGAAACTGCACTGCTGTTTTCGATGTTATCCCTTCCTACACCTAGTCACGTGCCCTTCAATCTAGAAGCCATAAACACCAAGAGACCTGTCAGTACGACTGCACTATTCAAATGCAACTTTGGTGGCAACTTTTTAAAAACTGAAAATTTGTGCTTTCAAGAGAAAGTACGTTGTGTTAATCTTTTGCATAAAAGATGGTCCAGTGTGCGCAGTTTCACGAAAGGTTAGTTTATGCGTCGATCATGTGAATTACATGTTCACATACATAAATGTTCATTCTGTAGGGTGGAAAACCATCACGTCCGGGATATCCGGTAACAGCTCGCCTTTGATGTCCGTCATCGAGATACCCAAAGTATTCAAATGGCGTGTCGGTACAAGATTACTTGTTCCATTATCGTACTGTACTAGGAGTAGATACTCACGAGCTCAGACTTGACGCCTTCGTTGCTTGCACACATTACTGCTGTTGTCTGCCATATTAATTAGGAATATATTGTTTATCCTTGAAGAATTTAAGTACACCGTAAAAAATGAGGCCCCACCACCTCCTCACAGCATCGTTGTTGCTAATTTTGGTAATTGTAGCAACAGGCAGCAAATCTCATATTACATTCACAGGAGCTAACACCCACACCGACTACTCATGCAGCCAACTCCAGTGAGGTCAATTCTACCACCTTTTGTGAAAATGCCTGGCATATACACCAAGGAAAGAGAATGACTGCTTAACCTATTGACGCGCAAGTGAATGATAGGTGATTGAGAGCGCTAAAAAACTAAGGGTTAAAAATAAGAAGTCTAAAGCAGCAGAGCAGCAGAAGCAAGTACACCAAAAATGAATTCACGGCACACCTGATGCGTAGTCCAAGAGACTAGACTTACAATTTATGCAAGGGGAGTACAACTATTCTCCCAAGACACCTCATCTCTATGAGTTAGGATGGATTGTGGAGCACACAATTAAACAAGTTGAGACTGAAAACCACTGAAGTTAAGACAAACAGAGGAGCCCCAGTGCATCTCACACATCGTCGAAATGTTAAATAGACAATCACACTTCTAACACAGCCAGATTTGGTTAAGTAGATCACTAAACCTGGACGGGATCCTGGTCAATCTGTTAACGGAGGGTGAGGAATAATTTTCGATGCTTTTCAAGGCATTACTATTCCTTCGTTTGGCTCATGGTGGATCCAAATAACAGACACTACGCAATCGGTATTAAAGACAAAACAGACAATAAACAGGCAATAAAACCGAAGTAATATCAATGCATTCCTACTAGACTTTCCAGTCCCAAAATCACTTCCATAAAATTACAGTGACCTCATAAGAAGCTAAGTGAATAAATTAACCCTGTCGATGCCTGTAGAACGAATAACAGAAGATGGCAAAATAAAGCAGAGGAGGCAGCTATTATTCATTTTAATAAAAAAAATTCATCCGGGTGAGATCCCTAAAAGTAAACGAGTGGGTGTATTTAATGCCCACCGTAATCATCGCCAATCCATGTGATGGATTCAGCTATCATAAGGTAGTGAGGTCAAATGACGGTGATAACGCAATGTTGTTTCGGTAGCGCGAGAATAATTAACACCGGTTTCGAAGACGAAGAAAAGGAAACATCCCATATTCGCCACCTTGATCCAAACACTTGAGAGCCTATCTTATATTCCTTTGCATGAATACAGAAATAGCACGAACGTTTTGGAGTATTTTTAAGAACGAGCTACCAGCAGTAACGTTTGACCGACTGCTAAGAGACGACTTTGAGATCCTCCAAAAACCCTCAACTCATCACTGAGCATGAAGCAAACACGTTCGTTATCGAGATCAAAGAGGAAAATGGACCGCCTCAACCCTTTCACTACTGACCCGAAATATCTTACATCTATGCCAAGCTCTGAACTAGGTGTTACCAACTATCCTAAACTAAAAGAACATGTGTCATATACGTGTGAAGCTTTAAAATTAATCGTTCCTAAGATGAAGGGCTGAAAAAAGTGCTAACGTCCCCCTTGTTGAGGTTAGGGAGTACATGAAGTGGAGTTTAACAACTTGTCTATGTAACATTTTTCATAAATCCTCCAACCAGATTTCTGTAGTCAAATCCTGAAAATAACCGGTTTTTGTTCTTAATTTAAGCTAGGAAAGAAACTCAAGTATCAATTTAGTGTTGCTGTAGTAGTCACATGCCTCATGCAATCAGAGAAGTAACCAAACCATCGATGTCGTACAGAACGTGATGGAAATAGGCTACCTAGTCAGTTACGAACCACATATCTGGGTAGGATGAATCTGGACATTTGCTTCATTAATTCTTATGAAATGATAAAGCAGAATGTAGATCATGTCATTCACAAGTTATGAACATGAATTTCTACTGTTGTTTATCTAAACCCCGTATCACATGTGCGACACGGGTCCCAACTTAGCTTTTGGTAAATGACCGCATTAAACTGTCTCAATTGAAGACAGGCTATTTCTATTTCACTGAAAAGTAGTGTAGGGTTATCATGGACCTAGGAGAAATACACTTTTCAGTTCCCTTGGGCAAGGGATGAGTTGGTCAAAAAAACATCAAAACAGTAAAACATCGCGATTGTATTCGTCGATATTCCACTAAAAATCTGGCAATGAAGGTGTTAGGAAATAACCAAAAAACAAAGCTAAACTACACAACCGCAAGTCCTTTCTGTAAAAATTTTTAAAATACTACCGACTAATGAGTTCAGGTTAGTTGAAGTTTTGAAAAGTAAGAAATTTAGTCAAATGCGAGGATTCCTTGATTTCCTGCCTTCAATACAGGTAAACCTGAGGAAATGGCGTTTGATGCAAAGGTTTGGCGTACTTTATTGCTGACCTAGATCGACGTTTACAAAATTTTCAAGGGAATTGTATGATTGGGCATGTTTGTAGTTTGACTGAATTATTTAGCTATCCAGGTAAATAAGTAGGAAAAATCACCGTAAATAAAAATATCATTACATTAAGAACGTTTAAATGGGAGGAGAATATATTCCAACGGTAAAAAGAGCAATAAGTGGTGGTGAAAACCACTATAAAAGTGATGAAAACTCACTAGGAACGGCCGGCACAACACCTTTCGCCATCGTAAAGCTCACTACGACAGCAGTAGCGAAGGTGGCTGGGGCACACCGTGTACATATATTCCCTCGGGACTCCATGCGGATCAACCTCCACCCTTCTCCCCTCGCATATCGTGTATCGAGCTTAAAGGGTGAAAAAAAAATTTTATTCATGCCATCTGGACATGTAAAAAGTCCACTGAAATCCCAATGGAATACCGATATCTTTGTACTACAATAAAGTTAATTCACCAATATTTAAGGATGGAGAACAGCCCCTCAAATACTGCTTGAAATTCGTGCTTTTACCACTCCAACATCCTATTTATACTGGTAGTGACTGTCAATTATAAGTTTTTGATGTAATTGAGTGTAATAACATGATACCAACAAAGCGAAGCGTCTGATGATAAGACAAGGCTGATAACACACAAAGGTAAGAGAAATAAACCGTACAAGCAAACTTGTGCCCAATAAGGCAAGCAAGTTCTGGCTCAATTGCCTACTTCCACTTTTCTTCAATAAATTTTACTTATCAAAGCATACGGAAGACCACATTGAAAATAACTTACAAATATCATGATTTGACGCCAATTTGAAGCCAACATATACAGCAGCCATACTGCCAGCCGCGAGAAGTAATTTTCTGCTGAGAGAACTAAAAAAAATGTCAGCCGCATACATATGAAAGCAAAAATACCGAAATAGTGGACGAAAATCCCATATCATGCCTTACAAGTCAAATTTGCTAAGCAGATACATGTTAAAATGGACAGAAGCCGGCAAAAACGCCGTATATATACGCTAGCTCAAAATAACGATGCGCCACTTACAGGCCAGAACTTGATTTAAGATTCGAAAATGAAGTTTTGTATTTACGGGGAGGAGAACGAACTTTAGGACGATTTCCTCTACAATAAACATCTAAGGAAATGAGCTGGAATTCGACTCACCATAAACGCCAACGACGAGTAAGAGCAAAAGCATTACAAACCACAGTCTCATGGTTGTATAAGGTATGTACAACTAGATCCAAATGCGGCACTACTAGGCTGATGAAGGAAAAGGCGCAACCTTTAGCGAACTCAAACAAATTCATATTTTTTTACAACATTAAACTTTTGAGCTGTGCGTTGACTATGGGCGCGTAATTGCTGAACAGTGTATTAATGACTGTTACTTTTATAAGTGGTGTTATTATCATAGGCTGTCATTTGAGTTGCACCCAAGTATAGGAGTTGTTATTAACTAGAAGTCAGGAAATTAAAACCTGGGCTTTATTAAGTGATAATGAAGGAAAAAAACGTTTTTTTAGTTAGGTACTGATATTTTGTTCGTACATTATAATGAAATCTTTCCCCGTATTCTTCGAACCATCTTAGACGAAGGCGTAAACTTTTAATCCCTTATTACGAGAATTTTTCCTCGATATATATGATGAAGTATTGGTGCAGTGTTGCAAAGTCTTTGTAGCACGATTCTTTACTAAATCAAATTCTTGGGAGAGCACAGTCATGGCCTTCAGCCGAGTCATTGACCTGGAATACAAACAGCAGAAACTGGAGACCCTGGAGAGTAAGATATGCGACTAAACCGATCACCGAATCATCGCATTCAGTACTAAGTAAATATTTACTTCTTTCAGCTGGTGGCTGGTGAGTAACCTCATACCTGCGAAATTACTATGATCGCCAGCACGAGGAAGCCCAATGCCTCTAGTTTCTTCTAAATCCTAGAACGACTAAGTTAATATTTCCTTTCGGATGCTCCCCTAATTTTTCATTAAGAAAAATTTAAGGCTTTGACTAGCTATGAATATAGTAAGTATGTTTTGAAAGGCTTCGGCTAAGTTAACTTGTTTTTTATAAATGGTAGCCTATTTAATAAGTACATCTTTCAATTCCACAAAAGGGATCCACAATAGCTACTAAAATCAGACCTAATAAAACTGCAAATGCATACCGTAATCTTGGCAAACAGACCTTTAAGCTTATGTAACTAGTTCAGGCTTTTTTCTCTTCCACCTCTGCCTTCATCCGCTTGGAATTTGCAGATTGGTTTGAGAAGACAATATTTAGTTAATAATTGTTGCGAATGCGTACAGGGGATCAGAGTTCAGTTCCTCCCCAAGGGTCATCAGCGACCGCGCATTCTCGAGGTTGATGCATACTGACCGCTTCAAAGAGATATGCATTGTACTTGCGTATTTCCTTATCTATCGCATGCATGCAGGCTTTGCCGGGCTTGTAAATTATTTTAAATATGCATTTTCCACTTGCAAGTAAAGTACTTCTCGAGTAAATTAATTCTGCTGATTGATGGCGTTTCCCTATCTCGTTAATTTGGTGAAATGGTCAAAGGTCCAAACATGCAGTTTCTCAGCCCCTCTGCGCAATAATAAACTTTCTATAATAATATGCCCTGTTACGGCCTCGGAAACGTATCAGCTGGCCCACTTCAAGAGATGACCAAATCTGAACGTTACAATAGATACACATTTGCTGTTAGTGGCCGTATTTGTGGAAACTCACTACGGTAGGTCTAGAAAAGTGTTTGTATTTTGATAGATAGCGCTCATGTTCCAAGGAACTTCATTTGACTTTAAAGGGGTGTTTACTATATGTCCTCAAAGGGCACAACATTTGACGTTGTCTCTTGAACGACTATTTAAGTGAAGTATGAATCACCGTCGGAATATGCGCTTTGGATAAATCTCTCTCAGATGGACTTCTCCCCCATGGATTTCGCTTTACGAAGACTGCTGCATTTAGAAATCCTATTCAGAATGGCAGGGCACACTAATACTAAGGATTATCATTCATTCTGAAGTTGGATTTCATTAAATCACGGCTTTCGATAACATATTTCATTCTATTGCGTCAGTCAGACGCGGAGAATTCATTCCGGAGGTTAAGGGTAGGCACCGGCAATTCTCAAGTATTAGTTATTTCAAGCAATAAATTTGGAGAGACTGCGCGGCTCTTGATTCAAGCTACATCCCGGTGTGTTTATCTCAACAAACAGGAAAGCAAAGATTTGTTTGTTGTCACCAAAACGGAGCAGTGACCACTGAGAGCTCCGATGAGAGCCTCCAGAAGACACATGTGTTGCATGGTGATTTGATGGGCCAAATTTAGCTTTCAGGTTTGTAAGTGTGTCTCGATGAGCCGATTTGTTGGCCGTCTAGTGTGGTGTCGATGTTGCAATGAATAGTCCTCCCTCCTTGAGATGGAATGATTCGAGTCAAATCGCATTTATCTCACATGCTACCATCAAATATGTAGTAAAAGCACTGCATTAACCAATTTTATCACCTTAAATAGAAAACAATGCATTAATGCACGAATCTGTTCACTTCACGTGACCGTCATAAAATGTAAATTTCATTGTCATCTTCCTCCTCATTGAAGGCATTCTGCTTGCTGTTGTCTTGACTCTCTGACAACTCCTTCCATGCACCTAGTACAATCTAACTCACAATCTACGTCTTTCTGCTACTTACGTTAAGGTCAGAAGTAGAAAAAAGCTGGTGGAATAACAGAATAGGATAGAATTCGTTCACTATAATCATACTCATCTCCTAACCGTTTCGTTTTCTTCCAAATATTGGCAACTCCTAGCCAAGCTGTTGACATATGAATCGAAAAACTAGAGGTAACCCCTTGTACAATATAGACCTCTAGCTGTTCTTTTCATCTCCCTTGAATTCAACATTCGTATGTATGACGACG